CTAAAAATTATAAAATTGCCATGGCTGAGCCAGCCTAACTAATGTGTACAAGGCAGATATGTCTGGTGCTTTTACAGATGAAGAATGGACAGCTACCAATCACCATAGGCACAATAATAAGGCACGACTATTATCCAATCTCTAACACAAGGCAAGCAAGTCTTAGACAACAGCTAAAAAGTCGTACCTGTTTTTCATCAACCGTAATTCTCGCTTCCTTGTGGCTTCTTCTGCAAGTTGTTGCTGTGTTGGTACATTACCTTGTTGTGCTACAACAACACCCTGGGGTAGGGCACCAGACAGTTTAATAGGATATGACTGCAAGTCACCTAGAATAAATATAAATGTATTATAATTTAAATGCGAAAGATCAACTTTGATAACATTTTATGCTAATTAGATGCATGAATTTAAACCAAAAACACCTGAAGTTCATCACCAAACTATGTATAGATACACCAGTACATTTGTTATATAGGGAACACATACACTTATATAAATGACATGTGTGCCTATGGTCATGTTTTATTTTAATTTTTGATTTATAAATACCATAAAATACACAATTGAGACCTTGTCTTAATTTGAAAAGTGAGAGTTCAACTTCTTAGTTGAACATATCACCCTTTACTTTGCCAATATACAACTGACTTTCAGCAGACAAATTGTTAAAATCACAAAGATGAGTCTTATATTGAAGTTTTCCGTTAAAACTGAATCTAGAATGCTCAAAAATATGTAAACTAGATGTCACAGTGAGACTAATTGATGTATGCACTAATTGTTTAATAAAATAAATGAAACCACTAATACAATTCCTTTGATTTTCAGGTGGTTTATATTAACAAATATTTTCTAAATTCTGTTTTTTACGAATAGCGTAGTGTGAACGATCTAACAATGGGGGGGGGGGGGGGGTGGCTTTATATATATGTGGCCTAAATTACATATTTTACAGTACTTCTATCAGAATGTAAATTGAGAACAGACTTCTCAAGGTAGAGTGAACCAAGTGAGTATTAGTCACCAAATCGAGGAGAATAACGCACCGGAGAGGAGCACTTGTAGCCAAGGTGTTTATTGCTCAACTGCTCAGCCTGGAACTGAGTCTAAATACTCACGAGATGTTCAATGATAATGTATCAATATCATTATGCAAATAACTAAACTAAACGTCATAGCCTCAAATCAATTAGTTGTTTGCAATCAAGTAGAAATACTTACTGGCATTGACTGGAACAAAGTACTGTTGTCCATCTTGTGACTGAGCCAGCTGTACTACAGCACCTTGTGCCCCAGCGTTGGACATTGTTATTGTATGTAAACCTCCTTGTTGTTGCAGACCTTCACTAACAAGTTGAAGTGTCTGTGTGCTTTGTTGACCAGCTGTGGAAAATAATAAAAAGCACTTGTACAGATTAAACTGCAGTATCCAAATTTGGGTAAAAATGCTGATAGAAATATAAATAAATAATTCTAAATATTTAAAAACAAAATGATGAGCATCTATCCCACACAATCTCAAATGTATGTACCAAGATTGAACAAAATCTGTTCATACACTATCAAGATGCAGTTAGGGTTGAAATAATCCGTTTTTGGACTGCATCTGAATAAATAAAATTGTTGGGTTGAGTGTGCTTCTATTAGATATACAGTGACCCCTCGCTAAGTCGCGCCTCGCTAAGTCGCGGGTACTTGGATGGCTCCCAAAATTTCTATTGTGTTTTGACAGCAGTTCTGAATTACAAAGACTAATGTTTCGTGGCATAGTGTTTTTAACAAGCTGTTAAAGAGACAATTTAACACCTACTGTCCGTCAATTGCTGAGATGCAATGGGCGACAGTGACCTTACTCAAGGTGTCAACAGGGGTGTTGAGTAGTGGCCGTACGTGCTTCTCGGCCGGTCCCATTTTGAGTTGAATTCATTATTTGATCTCTATTTCTCAACTGAGCAGCATGTTTAAGCGAAAGCTATCCAGCCTGTTCGTACACCATAAACTCACTGCGATCGACCGTGTCAAGAAGAGGTGAAACCAAGTGAAGGGTTGCACTTGATCTAGCAGTAGGTGAGCCCACTATTCGTGGGTGGGTGAAAAATGAAAAGGGAATATGTTTTCAAAGTTGATCAAGAAGCGAGACTGAACAGAAAAACGTGCGAAATTGTCCGACAATGATGACATCGATAAAGCTGTTTACGTTTCTTTAAGAACGGTCTGCCGGAACTACACTCTCTGGTCCCATCACCCAATGCAAGTCACACAACTCAGATACGACGACTTTTAATTTGAGGCCAGTTTAGGGTGGTTCTTGTGAAGGCAAAGAAGATACGCTATCCACGAAGTCTCTGCAGACATTATCTATGAAGGTGGTTATTCCGACGAACAAGTTTATAATTGCGATGAAACTGGTTTATTTTGGAAGCTGTTATTGTCGAAGTCGCAACCAACAGCAAACGACCCACATAATATCGGACACAAACAAAATACCGGTAAACAACGCATCACTGCAACGTTTACAGCAAACATAATCATGATCAATTCTCATTAGAATACTGCCAGACACATATGATTCATCATACAATTTGTAAATATGTGTCTAATTTTTCAATTAACTAAACCAAGGGTTTATATGTGCTTTTTGAATGTTTTCAATGCATGATCCCCCCTCTTTCACAAGGTCCCTCGGTAAGTCGCGGCTCTCGATAAGTTTTGGTTTTTGCTTGGATCTCGACACCCGCGACTTAGCGAGGGACCACTGTATTATGGGAATGCAAACAAATACGGATGATGTACTAGTGTTTCATTATTATTTCAGTTTACCAGAGGGTGTCGCAGTGCTGTCATTCTGACAAAAATATTGTGTGTGAATGCATCTATACAATAACTCACCATTCACTGTATGGTAGTTCTGCATACTATGCCCCTGGGAATTGGCAAGTGATGTGATGGAATTGACCGTTTCATTTTCATTTTCCTCCTCTATTTTCGCTACACCAGGCGCACCCGACGATAAGTCATTCAATATTTTCCGGTAGGACGGCCTCCTCGAAAGAATATCGTGTCTTTTTCGACATTCCATCTCATTTTCCATTCCATTATTACCTTCAGATTCGGGAACCGTTGTGATCTGTGGATGTGCAAGATTAAGATATCAGTAAGGTACACTAGAAGACAATGTAAGCTCATTTAGTTTTAAAGCTGATTACCACTTAGTTACGAGTGCAATCTCTTCAACAGTAACCAACAGCGATGCAGGAGTAATTAATCAGTAGTTTATCTACGCATAAATAAACATATCCAGACGTGTATCAAAGCCTCATGTCAAGTACATCATAAGCAGGTCTCCAGAAACATACAATTAAAGTCAATTAGAGGAGTTCTCACGTTCACAGCTGTTTTTGGTTCTGTTTCTCAAATATTCAATTTTTGCACATACAAATGTTGCATAGACATACAAATTCAGGCATAGTAATCTTGGTCAAGGTACACTAATATGAGAATTACAGTTTCAGAGCACGAGTGGTGTTGATGAATCAAATAAAAGTAAAATTTATTTTTACTACAAATTTGTAATGCATATTATATTTAGGTCCCAAGACCATATACAGCCAAAACACATGGCTTAGGTCAGGGTGAACCAAATTGAGAAAATGGAAAAGACTCTTTACAGATAAATGGCACTGTTGTGACAATTTTGCAAAAAAATTTACACAGACACCACATGCATTATATATATGATAGTTGGAAGAGGCAGAACAGAACGACAATACACTCGCCTTATACATCAAATAATTTTTAATAAATAGCAAAAAAAAATCAATTTCAATTCAAAGGCATAACTGCAGTTATTAGCAACACTAAACCAGGAGTGGATTTATCACCAAACAAGTGCCCGTTGTCATAATAACTGGGTGAAGGTGTGTGATTGCATGTCAGAAAACAATTATAAAACTTAAAATATCTTGGGTGCAAAACCAGTAGTAGACGATGGTTCAGTCAAGCACTTTCAGTTTAACTTCAAAAACACACTTTGACTTCAAACAATCACAACACAAAATGTTACCAACCATGGTTTCTGAGTGCCGACACACCTTCACACACCTTTTAGCATAGCGGCATTTACATTCCTTTAATTATTATCATATTTATCCCTGTGCAAGTGTGAAATAAAAAAGCATACTTAATGCGTTCCAATGTTGCTCGCTAATGTCCCCAGAGATGATGACAAATAGGGCATTCTTTTTAAAACTCTTTCCTGTAATAATTTCACAGAAATCAGACAAATGTACAATTCCACATCATCTCCAAATGCATCAACTTCAATAGAAAACTGGTACTACAGGTAAGTCAATATAGCTATAATTATATATACAAATGGTGCCTTCATAAAAAGTTTTCCCTTATCACAACTGCATTATGTCGCACTTGATGACTTAAGTTTAGTCTCTGGCATGATAATTAAACCTCCATTTTAAGCACATATGGCGAGTAGTTCAGGGACATACAGTCAAACCTGTGTTAACGGCCACCTGGATATAGCGGCCACCTATTTGTAATAAAGTGTTTGGATACTGTGTACAGTAGTGTAATAGTGTGTCAAATGGGGTTGCGAGATCCGTTTTAATACATTCAGTGCCTAATTAATATTCATGAATAAATTAGTGAACCTGTATAGAAAGGCCACCTGTCTATAAAGGCCAAAATTTCAAAGTCCCTTGGGTGGCCGCTATAGACAGGTTTGACTGTACATACACTTCATTTACAAGTATACTACCCAGTTCACAGGTGATAAAAGTAAGTTAGGTTTAGTGATTACTTCTTTCCTTTCTTTAACATAGAAATACTATCTCAGTTTAATAAAGCATGTTTTACTGTATACATCAAGAAAACAGATTATTAAATGTCACTGAAACTTGGATGATGTTCACAGCATTACTTGTCTTAACCTTTGCCATTTCATTTCTTCATTCTATAATATGTTACCATAATACGTTAATAGTTACCATCCGCATATATAATCCACCATCTTAACAAAAACGCTATGACCTGATATTATGGCATGGAAGCAATAAGCTAATACAGACTAGTATTTCATTTTACTAATCTGTTGGCTTAGCCTTGGTTATATACTTTACATGGTGCACTGAAAACATCATATATTTAAATAACATACTCCTGTACACACTTGTATAGTTACCATGACAATCTATAAGTACATGTAACAAACTTCTATACAAAGAGGCAATTTATAATAACCAATCTTACTTTGATTGGAGGCACTATTAACACGACTGTACAAAAATAGACTTGATAGCAATTAAATATTATGATTAAAAAAACAAACATTAAAAATGATCCTGACTTCAGTTCATGAAATATTTTATGACAAAAAGTAGCAAACAAAAACAAAGTACAGATTTATACAAAACTATTTTGATTGATACATAAAGTTCATTTCTGTACTTAAAAACGGTAGCATAATTTTGAGTGAAAAATATCATTTTTACAGTTAGACTGTGCTGATGTAGAGCTATTTTTTACTCAAGCATTGGTAGATTAGGCAAGCAACATTCACTACGATTGGTTTATATGTAGCATACTAAAATAACTAAATGAAGCCGAACAATTCTTACACCATACAGCCTGATTGGCACAAGACCTGTAGTTTTCAATGGACGGGTTAATCCATTTCTTCTCAATTTCATACATACTAAAAGAAGTGATTCCTCAACTATAAATTTCTCTTTATATAACAAATCAAGCAATACTGTACAACTCTAAAACAGACTTTAAAAAATATATATATCTTTTTTTTTTTTCTCAATGAAATTCATGTGTGAAGAAACATACACGTATGCCAGTGACGATTTCTTTGATTGAAGCACTACACTCCAAAGATGGGCCACAGTATTGGCTTGCTCCACAGACACAGACTATCCCAGTTGTATGTTCACAATTGGCCGAGACTTGTTAAAAGCCTTTAATATCGGATTCCTCCTTCAATATAACCAACATGAATTGAGAACTACTAGATTGTAATCACAGCAACAGATTTTAGTCTTCCTTCCTAATCAGATTTGTGACAGTAGAGATCTTTCAAAGCTTTCAATTCCTCGATAAGTGCTTTGTTCTGGTTCTCTAATACTGCTACACGGTTTTCAAGACATTTCACATATTCTTTTTTTTTCCGCCTACATTCCCTTGCAGCCTCCCTGAAAACAAATAGAGCAACAAACCACAAATGTAAACAACCTCACAAATTATCTGCAGCAACCCTAGGACACTATACAAGTTGAATTAACTGCTCAATGTGGCCAATATCATTGACTTGAGGTACACACACCTATCTCCAGAAACAATTATTGAAATCATTCCACAAATATTTCTAGGGGAATGTATCAAATGTAGCCTTATTCGTAAGTTACCACCTAAATTCAATACTGCAATAAGTGAGTGTGCAATGTGTAACAATGTCCTAGTTTTACATTACAACTTGTCACTGTGTTTGTACATGTCCCATGATAACTATTTGCAAGAGCTGAATGCCATCAGTCAAGACGTGTGGCAGATTGGCTCTGATAAAGCTTGATTCTTTAACACCGTCTTTCCATGCATATCAGTTTCAGAATGGAGAAATTTCGGCATATTTTTAACACTCTACCAGTTGGCATGACTCAAGTTTACAGTTGACAACTACACAGAGACGTACTAAGTCGAAACAACCACATACCTATTTTTCATCAGCCTGAGTTCCCTTTTTCGAGACGCTTCTTCTGCAAGTTGTTGCTGTGTTTGCATGTTGTTTGGTTGCGCTATTACTCCTTGAGGCAAAACACTAGACGTCCTTATTTGGTAAGCCTGTATATCACCTAAAAAATATAAAAACAGTTAATTAACAGTTAACACCTGACTGATAGTGAAAAACAAATATAAGAAATCTGCTTCAACAAATCATTATGCCGAATGAAACGTGCAACTTGTAATGACAGGAAAGAAGAAAAAAAAACATACCACTGGCAGTGGGAACAAAAAACTGCTGACTTCCGTCTTGAGATTGACTGTACTGTACTATAGTGCTTTGAGCAGCTGCCCCTGCATTAGTCATGGTCAAAGTTTGTAAACCACTTTGCTGAAGTCCTTCACTGACTATCTGTAATGTTTGACCACCTAGAATGGAACAGTGGAAGATTTACAAATGTATATACACCTGAAATTGCATTTATTATTTGCTAGAAAGTAAAATGTGACTTATTTTGCACGTTGCCACACACGTGTCCATTTATGCAAGTGTATACGTGACTAATAGAGTTACTATGGTATTATAATGAAAGCTGAGTGGTTTGCAGTTGATAGGTATATCAATTTCTTTGTTGTCTACTGTCACTGAACTGAATCTTATCTTACACAAAAAGGTTCACAATCTGGCTTCATGCCATCATCACCATCATGATAGGTTTTGATCTAGAAACTGCAATCTGAGCACCTTTTTTGTTTCCCTAGCAACGATTGTACGATTTGTTCACAAGCAAGTGCACTTATCGGTCATATTTTTGGTAGTCACAAATATAATGGAGCAATGACAGCTTGGAGATTACACTGTCATGGAAGAGCTATTTAAATGTTAAATAGAATGTTAAAACTTGAGAAAGCATATATGTGTATCAATGAACTTGCTGCATGATATTCATGCATCTGCTAATGTGCACTAAGAAAAAGTAAAAAAGAAAGCTTGAGGAGAAAAAAAAAGGCATTTTCCAGTTTCAGGGCGATATTTTAGTGCTTTATGGCACTAAATAGCATATTTGCTCTTAGAAGCACATGTGCTTACATAGATGACAGGTGTGTCTAATGATCAAACACTCAATACATACAAAATTGGTATGTAGTATTTCAATTCAATTCAATTATTATACACAGATTTAGGTCTGTATATTGTTTTAGGGCGCACATGTAAAAGTTTCATTTTAATGTGATGATTAATCCTAACGAAATTAGTCGAAAGCTGAAAAGTTAATTATTATGCAAATTAGGTAATTATTATGGATGTACATAAATTAGATTGTCACATTGTGTTAAGAGTACATACATACTAAGATTCATTTAAATAAGATAAGTACTGTCACAGACCATCTAAGTACAAAAAATTATGAATTACTATGCAAATTAGGTAATTAATATGATCTGATTCAAACCAGAAACTGAGGTCTGTGCATTGTCTGAGCATCTATGTACCAAGTTTCATTGAAATGGATAATTGGTACTTAAAATTCACTAATTATGCAAAGTAGGTAATTAATATGCAGGGTGTTTTCCTTTAACTGATCAAATCTATGCATTAGTCCAGAGCATGCATGTTTCATCAAATTCCAATAAGTGGCTCTTCAGATATCAGTGGAACAGTCATGGGACAGCTAAAAAAATCAGCTAATTATCATCCAAATTAGGTAATTAATATGCATGAATTTCAACCAAAACCTAATCAAATATGTGCAATAGCCCAGAGCATCTATGCGCTAAGTTTCATTAAAAACCAGCATGCGGTTCTTAAGATATCACTGGAACAGACACACACACACACACACACAGAGACAGACAGACAGACAGACAGACAGACAGACAGACAGACAGACTAACTGCAAAAACTCCCATTATGTGCTTCGCACATGGGAGTCAAAAAGAGAAAATACTAGGTATCCAATAAACAACTGGTTCTAAATCTGCTGCAATATTATTCAGTTGAATTCACAGTGATAATGACAAACTGAAAAAGGTATTTTGCTCACCATGTGGTGTGGTTTGGTAAGTCTGAATAGTTGTAGCATTTGTTGTGATGTTATTAGCTGCTTCATTGTCTTCTTGACTTGACGTCTCCTCATCTATTTTTGGCACAGCGGGAACATCAGAAGACAAGTCATTGAGTATTTTTCGGTAAGACGGCCTTCTTGACAAAATATCTCGCCGTTTCCTACTGTCTAACTCATTTTCTACTCCTGTCACTCCATCTTCCGAATCTTGGACTGATGTCACCTGTTGACCAAACATTACACTGGTGTTGGCAGATAAGAGAATGCAGATTTATGCAGAGAAAAAAATTAAAATTTAAATTACTCAAAGCTACACATATGTTGCAGGTATGCAAGTTTTTGTGTGTGACTAATCTTATAAGCATGTATTCAAACTAAATGCACAGTAAAATCAATTTCATCTTTCATACATACATACATACAGACTTTATAGACATACATACAGGTACTATGTATCACATTTAAAATATATGAAATTTGAAAAAAGCAAGCGTGAAGAAAAAAAGAAATGACAAAAATTTGAAGTTTTGATTACCTCTTTGTGAAGCCGATTCGCCTGCACGCCCGTAAAATCCACAGTTCAGTCTCGCAATACATCTGGGCCCTGTATTACGGTAGGCCAATACTCGCTGACCATGCGACTTGTTCATTTTTGCTCTTTCAAGTTTGCCGACATACATTAATCAATGTATGCTTTTGTAATTTCATCAAGGGGAAATCATCTTGGCCAATTCCCTGATGAGCAAATAGGATTTGAATACATCGCAACAAACACCATTTTATACTTACATGAACTTGTACAGTTTGTAACGGAGCAGTCTGTATAACTGAGGGTTGATTACTAGGTTGTATTACTGATTGAACTTGAACTGGCTGATTTGGAATAGCAGTCACGACCATAGTAGCTGCCTGTGATGTTGTCTGAGAAGTAAACAAAATAAAAATTGATTATTATATATAGTAATGGAGCGACCAATCTCATGGTCAAAATAGTTGCACCGTCTTTGTAGAGAGACATTCTCAAAACAAATGTTAAAAACAAACATAATGTTCTGTGCGATGAAATATTAGCAATTTATTACAGGTATTGTTAACAAAAGTATGACAATAATACAATTTTTTCTTTAAAATGACAAATATATACAATACTAAAAATGGAGAATTGAAGATATCGTCACAAAATGAATAATCATACATAGATCCACACACGACCATGCATGCCAAGTATCAAGCAACTGAGCTGATAGTTTTTAAAAGAAAATGAAAATAACATTTTTTACTGAAAAATATTTGCTAAAAATATTGAATTTTAGATATCACAAAATTGTGTTGGTAGCATTCAAGAAGAAGATGCAGTCTTGAAATGTCTTTGATGATATGGGAGCTAAAATTATAAGTCTGTAGGCGGTGTCTGTCAATCAATCTTTCCCTTCAGCATTATAGTCAATTTGCATACCTATATACTATATTAGGCTAGCAACAGCTATTATTCAGACATTTTCTAAAAGTTACTAAGCTACTATAACAACCTATACATAAACAGAAAGCTTAGATATAGGAAAATACAGTAGTTCATACATCGTACGAATGTTTGTCTAAGGGATTACCTGACAGACAATATCACTATTGTATTTTTATACTATTCCTACTATTGAAAACACTGATTTCAACACTTCCAGTCATGTGAATGACCTGTGAAATGCATAGTACATTAATAACACTGTAGGTAGCACGTCTAAGACAGATAAAAAACAAACACAAAACTAAGACTTGATCATCTAGTCTACAGCATCATGAAGGTCAGTGCAATCAATAGGTTTATTGCTAAAATGCAAAAAAAAAAAGACAGACACTTCTGAATAACTGATAAGACAACTGTTGAATAAATGTAAAAAAAAAAGGAACTTGGATAACATGGGGACACACTACGTCAATGGCTAGTATTTGAGGCAGGACTCATTAAAGTCAATGATGAAGATAAGAAGATAATTGAACATTAATAAATCTCTCATTATTTTTTAATTAATTGTGAATGAAACACACCATACACTGTGGTGGTAATGCTATGCTGTTCATATCATAAGAATACTGCATTGCCTGCTGAAAGCCTCCTAAGGATAGACAAATTGAACATGGGGAGGGGGGCAAATACACATGCTGATTATCGACAAAGTTTTGGTGCTAAATAAGCACAGTTGGTAGGCAGATCCTTGTTTTTTTGCAACCACATAAGTACCAACTAAGGTGCCTAATTAAAGTAATTAAGGGCAGGTAGTTTTCAAAAAGTCAAAAATCATGAATGAATATCTAGTCACAAAATGAACAAATCCACCCAAGGTAACGAATTATACAGAATGAAAGCAATCAGGCAGGTAGTTTTCAACAAGACAAATATAATGGACAATCAGAAACGATCATCTTTGATAACATTGGAGTTAACTATCATATTATAACAATTCCCCAAAATAATTCTCTATAATTATTATACATGTATTTGATTCATGATTATTTTGTTTCATTAGTATCACCATAGAAACAAATATACACTCATCTTGCCCTTACCACTTGTGATTGGTCAGTTTCAACCGATCCGCCCGTCTCATCCACCATACTCTCCATAGTATGTTAATGAGGCTGGAGATGAACCCTATAAAGAAAATATAAATTATTGAAGTATTAGCACAAATACTATACATGTAATCATATAGAATAAGACATCAGCTGGCAGAAGATCACGCTTCTCCTGTAATTTATATTATTAGGATAGCAATTTACAGTTTGATTTTAGATACTGACGTTACACCAATTGTCATGGACCTCAATAACAACTGTCATATCATGTTTGACTCCTGTATGGCATTTTTTTAAGCTTTGTGTGTGCGGAACACACAAGGGAGATAATGAGTTTGGGGTGTTCGTGTGTAAGCAAAATCTCAAAATGGATTTTGATCAAATTTGTTTTGGGGGCTATGTCCTTGCATATTAGGTAGCTAATATTAATTATCTCATTTCAGCCTATGTAAGCAAAATCTCAAAAACGTCAGAATTTTGCAATTTTGCTGAACATCTGATCTTAACCTTTAATGACATTGCTTTTCACCGACTGTTGGGAATTTTCATTTCCTAGATATGTTTTCATAAAACAACAACGACTGCATATTTTGTATAGTTTAACTTTGATTTGTATATAAAGTTTATTGCCTATGGTTAGATTGAATTTCATATCACAGTTACATGTCAATGAGTGATGACATGTTTGTGTAATGACAAGTTTTTGCAAGACCAGAGTGAATTAAAAAAAGCTACAGAGCAGCTTTGTCTTGAAGTTCGAAGCCTAACAGTAGAGCATCAAAAAATGAAATGCTTGCTATTTTCTTGTTCAAAATCAACAAGTCATTGTCAATGACACGTCCCCGTTCCGTTCATATTTGAGTGACATATACATTCAAAGCAGATCATGACCGAAATGCACCTGCATATGTACAACACATTGTGCTAAATGTGAACAAAATCCATCCATGCATGACTGAGATCCGGTTCTGGAATTGTGAAAATACGTGATTTTGATGCATTTTCGGCCTTAAAATGGCCATCATTCCGCTATTGTTAAGCAGATCATGAAACAAATGCACATATCTATTTGTGACATGATGTACCATGTGTGTGTGAAGTTTGAACTTGATCAATCCA